GCCTGGTCTCCAGAGCGAGTGCCAGGACAGGCTCCAAAGCAATACAGAGAAACCCTGTCTCGAAAAAACAAAACAAAACAAAACAAAAAACAAAAAAAGAAAGAAAGAAAAAGAAAAATTAATTTGAATAATTGCCATTTTCGGCAACTGTACAGTTGTACGTGTATGGGCTCTAGCTAACACCCAAAGAGTTGCCAGCCATGAATACAAGATTATATTAACGTGTATACACCGTAGGCATCTGCATTTTGCACTGTACCGATGCCTGGTTAACACTTTGAACAATTTAAACAGACAGGAGACTACTTATCTCCAAGCCACATTGGACCAAGAGCTCTGTCAGCTGAACCCTACTTTGTGAAACTCAATATGCCCTAAGCAGGTCTGTGAATACATGCATCTGTTCTGGTGTCCGTTTTGCTACTTCTGTTTCCCAGTGTTGTTGCTACACTCGGTCTCCTATTGAACTCTGACTATTGGGCGTGGCCACAAGCTGATTTTCTCACTGAGCCACCGCCCTAGCTGGGACAACAGCTCTGTTTCCTGTGAAATGTCAATTGTGTTCTCTCCCTCCCCTCCCTCGTATTCAGGAGACTTTTTAAAAATTATTACTCTTTCATATATTACATCCTGACCCCAGTTTCTCTTCCCTCCGGACCTCCCAATGCCACAGGCCCCTCCCCGGCCCCCACAGAGCCACTCCTCCTCCATTTCCCTCCCAGGGATATCAGTCAATCAAACATGGCATATCTTGTTGCGATAAGACTATGCACACACCCGCATATCAAGGCTGGACAAGGCAGCCCAGCACGAGGAAAAGGGGCCCAAGAGCAGGTGAAAGAGTTAGACACACCCCTCACTCCCACTGTCAGGAGTCCCCCAAGAATACCAAGCTACACAGCCGTAACATATGCAGAGGACCTGGCACAGACCTGTGCAGGCTCCATGGTTGCTGCTTCTCTGTGAGCCCCTATGAGCCCTGCTCAGGTGATTCTGCTGGGCCTGTTCTCCTGGTGTCCTCCACCCCTCTGTCTCCTACAATCCTTCCTTCCCCCTTCTGCGGGATGCCTGAGCTCCTCCTAATGTTTGGCTGTGGGTCTGCATCTGTTTCCATCAGTGGTTGAATGAAGCCTGTCTGGTGGCAACTGGCCTGGGCAGCAGCCAAAGTATGAGCATAGCAGGGTATCATCAGTAATCGTTTCATTGACTTTTTTTTTTTTTTTTTTGGCCAGTCATGTTTGATTCCTGGTCCTGGCCCCCCAGGCAGTGTGGGGCTTAGGCTCGATGTCTTGATTTGGGCCTAAAATTAGACCGATTACCGTTTGGCCACTCCCACAGGTTCTGTGGTACCGTTGCCCCAGCCTTTCACGCAGGCGGGAAAGATGGTGATTCAGGAGATTCTTAAGGACCAAAGTCTTTTACTGTTTTCTGGAGATGCTGATGCATAGACACCTACATGAATCTCTGCCTGCTGAGCCATCTCCCTGACTCGAGTTGGTTTTTTTTTTTTGTTTTTGTTTTTGTTTTTTTTTTGAAAGAGGGTCTCTAATGTCAGCCAGGATGCTGACGAGATCCTCGTGAAGTACCGAATCTAGTTTACGGGTTGCTTGGGATCAACCCGGGGCTTCATTCCTGTCCAAGTTGTGAAATGAATCCCCTGGGCACTGAGTGGGGAGCGAATTTACAGCAGGACACAGGGGAAGCAGAAAGACCTGCCCATGGTCTGGACAGGGGCCGTGATGGTAGTGAACACGAGGAAAATCCTGCTAGACCAGTGGTTCCCAACCTTCCAATTGCTTCCACCCTTTAATACAGCTCCTCATGTAGTGATGACACCCAACCATAAAGTTATTCTCACTGCTACCTCATAACTGTCATTTTGCTACTGTTATGAATTGTAGCGCAAATATCTGTGTTTTCTCATGATCTCTGAAGACCCCTGTGAAAAGGTCTGGGGTCCCACCCCACAGGTTGATCAGGAATGGAGCTCATGGATTAGGTTTGAGGGCTGAGGGAAACGGGGAGACCCAGGAGTTGATTGATGGGAGAGCCCAGGTTCTCGCAGAGGTGACTTGGTCCTCCGGAGGATTCTGAACAGGGTCTGGAGACGTTTTACTTTATGGGCCACCACTGAAGGATGGGGTTCAGTGAGAGGCTAGGGACAGCTCTCAACCTTCTTGCACCATGTGCACTGAAAGTGACCCAGGTCAAAAGGTCATCGGTGTCTGTGTTAAAAGCACCCTGTGGGGAGGTGGCAGGGACAGGGGCTCGGG